TCCTCATAATCCACCCCTTTCCTCTGACTGTATCCCTTGGCAACATAGCGTGCCTTGTACTTTTCTGACCCATCTGCATTGTTAGTTGGAATGCTTTAAGCATTCAATAATCATTAATATTTTAACAAATGGAGTTTGCTTTCCAAATCCTCTTCAACTTCTTCAACTTTCAGATTCTTCAGCTTCGCCAATCTTTCAGCTACAGACACCATTTCAACTTTCAAATGTTGACACGAGTCTCCACTATTTTATGAAAAAAACTGCTTCTTGATATCTATTGTACTTTTTTCATAATCACTGATTATGTTTCACTTGTTCTTCGCTCCGTTTCTGACTTTTACATGAGTGTGTATTGCGTCTGCTAGAGTGGGGACCTCGAGGGCTAGAGTGTGAGGCATCGCAGAAATCTGGTTAAAAAAATATGGAACTTCTGTCCTTGCAGCCAAAGTATACACTCTAGAGGCTTCATTTCTTTAGATGAATGAGGGCATGGTTGTGCTGATTGGATTAATGCGTTCATGGAATCCCAGAGTTCTTTAGTTTTGGCTTAAGGAGTGTTAGAGTGACACAACCTCTGCCAAAAGCCCATAGGCTCCAATACAAATCTGCCGACATATTTCTCACAAAAATCCAGAAGGTACACGTTTTGTCAACTGCCATAGGAGCCGTATTTATTACCGGCCAGACATAAAAAGCATATCCATGCGTTCGATAGAGTCTTGGGTCTCGTCAAAACACCGTATTTTTTAGATAGCTGTTATAGTTTTGCGCTGGTTCTCATTTGTTTGAGGTGTGGGATTCTGTGTAACTCGCTGTCCCTGTGTCTGCCCTTTTGCAGCCGCTCGTTAATGAGCACAGGTGCGTCGTTGCCGTGGTTACTCGCTCACACGCTGCAGGATCTGTCTGTGGCTCACAGCTGCTCCTATGACCTGATTAGTGGAGTCACATGACGCAGCTATGCTTTCTGTCAACAGACCAATATGATAAAGACACTCGCCCCCCCTCCCCCCTCTACCCTGACCTCTTCTCACTGTTAATCAGTCAGTCAGTCTGTCTGTCTATTTCTCCTCCTCTCTCTCTCCCTCTATCTTTTCCTCACCACCCCTCCCTTCCTCACCCTCTCACCCTCCCTCCCTCTATCTACACCCCCCCACCCCACCCAATCCAATAATTTCAAAATAAAAGCCCCATGGAGGGAATTTTTACTGTAATGTTTGTGATGAGGCCTATTAATTAAAAACTTCTTAGTTTGAATAACAAACATTCTGTCTCCCACTACGAATATTACTCGTACTTCTAGTACTACAACTGATACTTCTACTACCATACTACTAGTATTTCTACTGCTATTAATACTACAACTACTACTAATGTTATTACAAATACTACTATGGCTAATAGTGTTAGTATTCCAGCTGTTTCTACTGCTATTGATACTAAACCGACTTCTACTGCTAGTACTACTAATACCACAATTACAACTAAAACTAATACTACTACTAATATTACTACAAACAATTTTAAACCACTTTTTATTCATCTCAGCTTTTGTTATTACTGTACTTTTTAAAATTCATTTAAGCTCCTGCAACTTCTGTTTTGCAGTATTTCACATTTATTTCAGCTGTTTTCATTTCTGCTTTTTCAGCAAATCTATTGAAATTCCTTTCAGCTTCTCCCATTTCTGTATTTTCAGCAATTTCAAATTAATTTCAGCTTTTCAAATATCTGTCATTTCAGCAAATGTATTCAAATTCCCTTCAACTTTCTGTATTTTCAGCTATTTTTAAATATTCAGTGCAGCTTTCAGCTTTTTGCATTTTCAGCAGGAAATGCTTTTTCTAGTTTTTAATAGCATACACCCATCTACCCCCCACTGCTTTCCTGTCCTCTGGTAAGTTTGTAAGGGTAAATGTGTCATTTTCTTTTAATGATTGTAACTCCTCATCCATCGCATTAACCCATTCCTCTGATTGGGGTGAGGTTACAGCTTCTCGCAATGTTAAAGGAACGTTAGACGCTACTCTATAACAATAGATAAGGAAATCTGTAATGCACTTCAAGCATAGGAACTGGCACCTGGTCTTGTGTATGGGCTGGACTCGCATCAGTATTTTTACTGGTATTGGTAACTCTATGCTGCAGCTCAAAGTCATCATTGACAGGTGTCATGTCAGTTTGTGTCTGTTTCTCCGTGTTTGTTTTGTTGATAAACTTCACCAGTCTATGCTTCTGCACTTTTCCAGTGTCAGAAAAATAAACCATATAGGCTGGACTGTTCTTGTCATATCCATCAAAAATCCCCTTTTCACACCTTGCGTCCAATTTTCTCTTGTCCTGTTTGTAAGCATAACACTCTGAACCAAACTTCTGCATTCTGGACAAGTTAGGTCGTTTCCCTTTAAGCAGTGAGTAAGGCGTCTGCTTTGTGCGGTTGTTAAAACATCTGTTCCTCACTACAGCAGCTTTCTGGACTGCGTACGTCCACAGCTCTTTTGGTAGCTTACTGTCCAATAGCAAACACCTGGCCATGTCAAATAGTGTGCGGCAGTTTCGTTCAGCAGTGCCATTTTGATGTGGCGAGTTTGGGGCTGAGGTCTCATGAGGCATGAGACCTCAGCCTTCCATTTTGGGCTCCTCCATTTTGTCTCCCACAGTTCGTAGTTCCTTTCATCTCCGTCAAAAACCAGCCGTGACCATCGGCCACTTGACTCGTAGGCTCTTCTACTCATGACGCTAGCTTAGCATGCTAACTCACCGGACATGCGGTACGTTGCGACTTTTCTCTCGGTGATAACTCGTTGGAAACTCTCTGGGTAACTCTGGGCCCATAACCTGTTAGCAGAGATGGTTCGCTCAACGGTCCCGGCGTCCATACTCAATGCTAGGCCGTATATTATGGAAGTACAAATAACACAAGTGGAGCATCATGACTGTTTGACTTGAACTGAGTCGTCTTTATTGAACGCAGGTTCACTTGACCTCTCCTAGGTCACATGTCCATTCAGGGGCATCCTATTGGCTACCGCTTAACACACAATACTCTATATAATGTATGGGAAATTAAATACAACAGATTGTGACAA